CTAGCTTGCAAAGCTACAATAAATAGAATTATCAATAAAAACAAAACTGCATTTAGTAATGGAAAAATAGCAGTGCTATCTGGTAAAATCAATAATGGCAAGTTTCCTACTCGCTTATTTGTTGAAATCCATGCTTCACTTAAGCTGCCATACACCAGGAAAACGAGAACATCAACTTCCATTGCAACCGAGTCTGGAATGAGAGAAGGGAGATAAAATTACCTAATTACTAGAACAAGTAAGTTCCTAAAGAATCAAAAGATATGCACAAATATTTAAAAAATATTTGAAGTTCAATGCATAATTGATAAACAGTGCATGGTAAAAATTTAAAAGCAGCACAAGTGGTACAATTTTTTTCAATTCCTTTTAAGTTTCGGTATTTATAATTTAAAGACAGACATTACTGCATAGCCGGTAATTTTCGTGGGTTGCAAAGTTCATGGATTTTGCGGATTCCTTATTGATTCATGAAAATTAATTTAACACGGTACCTGCATGGTACAAGTGGTAGAATTCACGAAATTAAAATCTGCGAATTGGATTGTTAGTAGATTTCGCAAAATATAGGACCCAAAAAATTACCAGCCATACGGTATTATATGTACATGTATTACAAAATGCTTACTGATACTGCATTGTGTCCATTCTACAGGTACAATGGATAACAAACAGTAGTCCCCCAACTCAACAGTCAACAATCATATGATTAACACATGTCAGGCTGAGGCTGTCCTTGCCTGTAGCCAATCTATAATAAAACAGTCAAAAAATTATAGCTACATGTACATGACATCAACTAACTTTCTCTAACACAAGCATCCGTGACTACAAGACGCACCTAAAAGTGTTCAAATTAAGTTGTTAGTACTTGTACTTTACCATAAATATCAATAAATGACTTTAAAATACACAAATCCCGATATACATGTACAAGAGAGTGGCGACTCCGCCCCATCCAACAAAAGCAGGAACTGGTCCATCACTACAAGACGCACCTAAAAGTGTTCAAATTAAGTTGGTAATACTTGTACTTTACGGTAAATATCCATAAATCCCATTAAAATACACAAATCCCGATATACAAGGGAGTGGTGACCCTGTCCCGTCCAACAAAGATCAGGAACTGGTCCGTCACTACAAGACGCACCTAAAAGTGTTCAAATTAAGTTGTTAGTACTTGTACTTTACCGTAAATATCAATAAATGACTTTAAAATACACAAATCCCGATATACATGTACAAGGGAGTGGCGACTCCGCCCCGTCCAACAAAAGCAGGAACTGGTCTATCACTACAAGACACACATAAAAGTGTTCAAATTAAGTTGTTTGTACTTGTACTTTACTGTAAATATCAATAAATGACTTTAAAATACACATATCCTGATATACAAGGGAGTGGTGACCCTGTCCCATCCAACAAAAGCAGGAACTGGTTCGTCACTACAAGACGCACCTCAAAGTGTTCAAATTAAGTTGGTAATACTTGTACTTTACGGTAAATATCCATAAATCCCATTAAAATACACAAATCCCAAAATACAAGGGAGTGGTGACCCTGTCCCGTCCAACAAAGATCAGGAACTGGTCCGTCACTACA